TGTATATTTTTAGGTGAGGCGAACTTGCGAAACTCAAACATCACCTGCCATCCGTAGAGTGGGGGGAGGATCTCGACGAGTTATAGCGCAAAATATCGGTCCAGAGACGGGAATAATCATGACGAGGACAGCTAGTCGTTCATCTAACGGTACCATGAATGGCATGCAACAGTCCTTTGATGTACGTTTCAGTAATGATTTTATATGCTTCTTTCTATTAATTAATCTTTGTCTTTAGTTGGTAGAAAGTAGCTCATGGATTGAATGAAATGTATCAAAGTTCATTGGGAAGATTTCAGTGGATGTCGTTAGACGATCAAAGCGATACCCTGTCGATAGGCGAGCGTTGTGATTATCGTGACTACAATAACAGGGATTTCGGCAGATCTCCACGTCAATTTCCTCCTTTTCCGACTATGGGTACGGCATCGACGATGTCAACTGCTCCTTCAGCGGATTCTATCCCTCCTCGATCCTCTAGGTGTGTTTGGTTTTAGAACAGCGTTTTTTTTTTCAATCTTTTGAACTTCCACACAATTTTCGTTTTTTCTTTCGCCTTATCTTCCCAAGTTTCTTTATTGAAATATAAACATGTGTAATGTTTGAAGAACCCGTCTGAAGGTTCGAATTGCTCTAGCGGTAACTTTTCTGCTATTTTCAATTTATTCAATATTCTTCTTAAAACGAAAATTTCTTTCCTACTCTTCTATTTTTTCCATGCGAGTAGTTTGCGCTCTTTAAGTCAGTTTTTTTACTTTTACTTCCTTGGTTGCATATCTGTTATGTAATGTGTATAACTATTTTTGAAGATCTTCAAGTCCACCGACTCAAAAACGTCAACTCTTCTCAACAAATACGGGTCCCAAGAAGTCCACAAACACTGGTGGTTCGTTCTTTTAGAGCACTTCAAGTTGAAGCTGTGGACAGTCTACTTTTTCAGGATGGGCTAAGGAAGCCCCTAAACAGCCATTATCTGCACCAGAGAACAAACAGTTGAAAAAGGATTCACCTACAATTTTTAAGCTTATCCAGGGTTATATGGGAGATCGAAAGAGCAAAACACCGATTGATCAGGTCCGTATCGTAATCATCCATCTACTCTCATCCTGTTTACTTTATACTTCATTTTTACATTAACTCCAATTTTAGCAAGCGCTGACCCTTTGTGAGCTTGGTCTTTCAAAGCAGGAATGCGCCGATGAGGCAGTCGCTCAACTAATGCAACAACTTACTGATAATGAGCGACCAGACAGCGTTAGGTAATTTTAGAAGAAAATGTTTTATTCATTGAGAAAACTTCATTTGCCTTCTTTGAAAATGAATTCAATTTTTTGGTGTTGTTTTCCTTCCTATTTATGTCATTGTTTCTCTCTCTAAGCAGTTGTCATAATGCAATTTCTCTTTCTAGGCGCGGTTGGGAGTTGTTAGCAATATTTTTGAACTTTGTCCTACCATCAGAAAAGCAATCAGCCTTGTTAACGGAGTTTATTGATAGAAATTCCGAGAAGCTTTTTGATAGACCTGAGGTTAGTCCTTTTGAATAGTTCTTGTTTACCTCATTCCAATCTTTTTTTGGAATTTCTTCGGTTTTTTCTTTTTTTTCTAGTTTTATGCTACTACTCAGATTTTTTTAGGTCGCTGTGTCCCATTTTGCTCAACAATGTGCAAAACGGATGTCAAAATCGCAACCTCGAGTGAAACCGACTCTTGCAGCTGTTCAGGAAGCAAGGGTTGGTTATGTTCTTTTTTCAAATAACCCTTACCACACGCTCATACCTTATCACTGTTTTAAATTGAAGTTTCTGCAGTCATAATTTATTTTATAGGTTCATATTTTCAACCCTCCACAGTTTTCTGCCTCACTTTCCGAGCTTATGGAAATGCAAGCTGAACGTTTTGCTGATCGTCGGTTACCGTGGATTGAAACCACGCTTATTGAACTGCTCTACGGGTCAGGCGCAACTAGGACGGAGGGATTGTTCAGGTACTTCTGCCTTGAACTTTTTAGAATTTAACTTATTGACTTCGATGTTCTGATCATTTTGTTCTATATCTCTGATCTAAACAATTTACAGAGTACCAGCTGATCCCGATCAGCTGATGACCGCCAAGGCTCGATTGGATATGTTTGTTGCTCCTGTTGTCCATGATCCCCA